TGTGCAATCGATTGTGTTGTCGGCAATTGTCTGGCGAAAAGCGATTTTCACATTTTGACTACATGCGAGACTAGATGAAAATAAATTGCCAGCACACACATGTGCCGCACAATTTATGAGCCGCCAAATGTGGGTGTGTGTGGGGGCGTGGTGGGGGATGTGATGGAGGTGCAAGAATTTGTGGGCTCTGCAATTTGTATATACCCTGTAGCCAGGACTAGTTTCGTAAGCTCTAACATAAATTGCAATGAAACTTTGCAAACTATATTTCCGAACAGGATTGTTGTGTCTTTCTAAAAACCTGTAATTACCTTTTCTTAATTACAAGGTAAATTTTTCTAGAACTAAAAAAATATGTCTAATTCCATTTTATATTTTACATAGAATATTCATATTTTAATATTTCACAAATCCAAACATTTTTCAGAATGTACATATTATGAAAAAATTGCATTTCTAATTCTAAAACATATTTTTCGTAAATTTAAAAATAATTTTTTTAATCAATCAAAATTTTGTAGTTTTCGGGGCGATTTTCCAAATTTCCGGCGGTTATATATTTAACTGATGTTCTGATTTGTTAAGCTGTGGCTTACTTTAGGTATATCTATATTCTGAGGATAACTGCCTGTTGAGCACACTCCATTCGAGTTGTGATTCTTTGAATATATATATATATATATTTTTTTTTTTGGGTGAGAATTTGTTCAGTATGTATTCGTAGGAAATGAGCGAAAATCATTGTCTATGTGTCTGTGGGTCGGTCCGGCCCAATTTGCCAGCCAAGTCTCATTGCATTAATATTTTTGTGGTTTTTGGTTTTTCATTTTGGGCTTTGATTTTGTTTGTTCTCTTTTGATTTCTGTGCGCTGTCTATTTTTGGGCTCACATTTGGGTTCGGGTTCAATGCACGCGTCATTTTAACAAACTCCTGCCGAAAGGTGGCGAGTAATCAGGGGCATGGGAAGTGCAATACTTGCATGACAAACACCTACATTGACCTTGACGACTTGCGTGTGTGTGTGTGTGTGTATGTGGCACATAGTTATTTGTGTCAGCAACAAGTGACGGTCCCCCACCAAGCATCGCCACCTTTTTCCCTTGTGCTGGCACTTAAGAATTCATAATGCTGACAATTGGTTCAAGGACATTTGCTCTCATTCATCTCTCAGGCAGACATCTGCGTGTTGTCCGTCTAATTGCACAAATATTTTGCAAGTCAACACACGCATGTTGCTCGATCTCGTTACTTGTTTGTTTAACGCTGCGTATGCGTAACAATATATTAAATGCAACAGACACCGCGTGGGCGGTGCATGCTGCGTTTACAGTTTGACGGGAACTGCGTGAGCAACCTGCTACTCATTCGCTAAATAATAAACAAAGAAAACACATTCTGTGCCAATTATGCCAATTTAATATTCGCACATTTGTCTTACGTATTTGCTTCAATTGTCTACTGTTTGGTTTAGTGTTTAGTTTGATGGCATGATTCAAATGATTTTTGTGGACTGTTTAATGTGCCGATTCATCGATAACCATAATGTGCTGTTATTAAAAATAAATGAAATGGCTTTAAAATATATTGTTCACTTTTTACACTATCTATAACATTTTGCTCATTCTTAAAGTCATTGCCATTTGCCATTGAGAAGTGTACATATGTACAGGCTTACTCTCACAAACACACACACACACACACACACACACACACGCACATCCAAAACAACAGCAACAACAATTGTCAAAACGTGAAAGAACATTTTTCTTAGGCACACCGAATATTACATGCCCTTGTACGCCGGAGTTAATCTGCTGATATCTATCAGAAAAAGTGACAGCTTAAAGACAGGCTGTCAACCCGATACAATTTAGGTTCCCAATTCGATTCTGGTACGTAAAGCTTAAAAATGCCGGCAAGGATTCTGCTTTTACGGTATTCGATTACGTGTTTGGTACCTTGATTTTAACGGTACAGTGTTGATTCGAATTAACAGCCGAGTCAATCTAGCCATGTCCGTCTGTATACTATCTGGAACGGGGACACATTCACATACATACACCTGAGTAACGGGATCGTTTCGATCTTTTCGGTTCCGGTTTTGCGGTTCTAAGAAATGCTGAATTTATATTCTAATTTCGATTTCGATTTCAAAATTCAATCGATGAAAATGCGGTTCCGATTCCGAATACAATTCCGGTTTGCTCAAAACTCAGCTTTCAACGGACTGTTCCTATGGCAGCTACATATATAATATAGTGTTGCGATATCGATATTTTTTTTATTTGCTAAATCTGAGTAACTTAATAACACGCATATTGTGCAGATTTGGTCCAGATACTTTGGAAAATTCAATTCAGCAAGAGTTGTACTTATAAAGCAACAAATTCGGATAGGACGGATAGACAGACATTTATATACATTTATCTAGTGACTCCGATTAAGAACGTATGTATATACCTTTTACCGATACACATTTCATGACAAAATGAAAGTACCCTCGACAAGGGTGCAGACAGGCCAAAAACTAAAAGTTCAAGCACGCTGCACGTGACTATGCAGTTTTCAAAGTAAGCCTATTCGCTCCGCCCCCTCCGCCCCCTCCTGCCCCCTGCCAGCTGCCCCATCCCAACAGAGTTACTGTTATCGATATATGGCAGAGACATAGCATAAGCACAACACGTACATACTACTTAGTCTCTTCAGTTTTTTTGGGGGGACCAGACAATGTCGCAGACGCAGCGCAGACAACGCACAAAGGCATCAACCATAAAAGCAGCCAAACAAAATGACAACAACAAAATAATAACAACAACAACAACAACAGCAGAACACAAGCAACAGCAACCGCAATAGCAACAACAAAAGCGAAAGGCCTGAGAAAAATTACCGCACACACTTTGAAAAGTTTGTTCAACTTTGTTGTTGTTGGTGTTGCCCTTGTTTTGAGTGGTTTGTTTGTTGGTTTGTTGTTTATATATTTTTAGTTTGATTTTTGATTGATTCAATTTCCACAGAACTCCAAGTGCTGCATTTACCTTACACATTCATATGTATATACGATCCGTAAAACTGACTGAATGCACTGATTGAATGCAGCAACACTGATGAAAATGCAACAGGCAATTCCCCTGCAATTCCGCTTCAACTCCCCGCAATTCCCGTATTTTCGTGTGCATACCTTATCAGCGTTATCAATGAGTTGTGTAGTATTCGGTGGAGGGGGGCAAGGCGTGTGTGGGGGGGGGGACTGGATACCGTCTGTTCAATGCACATTTGGCCCACATTCCATACACCTTTGTCTGAGGCTCCACAAAAAGATAAAAGATATAGGTGACGATATTTTTGTATACATACAAAAGAACGAAAGGAATGCGAGTTTTAGCCACGTTAAGCGGTCTGGCATCAGCGTTAAGTTGGCTGCGTAATTAATTACAAACATCGAATAATTACAATTAATTGAAGTAATTACAGTTTATAGTTTATTTTAGTTAGATCGCTTTTTTGGTACTTAACTATAATTAATATAATAATGTGTGCTTAAATTTTTATTATGACTAATGATTGAATGAAGAGCTCGAAATTTGAAAACTTAATTTCTAGAATACAGATACGATCTTGGAGAGGGCGAAGAGAGGCATAATATGTATTTGTAAGTTGTTTGTTCGACATTGCACTAATCACGATTCAAATATGACGTAGGACCACAGACAGAGTTGATTACTTGCAGGGGGTATGGCACAGGGCCGGGGTATACAGTGCCGATGGGGGATAGTCATAAGCAAAGAAATCTAAAATCTAAAATACGTTAAGTAAATAGTCATAAAAAAAATTGACACTTGAATTCAATTGGCCGAGTAAAAATAGCCAGCAACACTCCACGCTCCGTTCCCCGTTTCCGCTCCACACCGAAAACTTGTTGTGCCCCAATCAGACAGCAATAAATTGAACAGCAGCCGAAGTAAGTCAGAAACAGAAAACACATACATATTTCAAGAATATGGGTCACTTGGAAAATATTCGAGCTACTGAAAATGCTACAAAAACACAAATAAATAAACGAAAATTGCACTGAAATTGAAATACAAATCGAATACGAAAGTTTGAGAATGCCTGTCTTACAGTTTGACAGTGACCAGCAGTATGTCGCTGAAGAAGTTAATGCAGAAGAAGAAATAATTCACAGTTTGTTATTTTGGTGCCGGGCTGATTAAGGGCTCGAAAAGCAGACAAACAGAGAAACCGAGAAACAGAAGAAAGAGAAATAAGTGCTTCTATTGAATCACAAATTGCGTAAGAGCTTTTTATAGAAGTTCAAGTCATTGAATTCAGTTCCTCAAGAACAAAATTCGACCACACGCACAGTAAAAACAAATCAAAAAGAAGAAGAGCACCACAACACTGAAAGGAACAGCTAATTTCATAATAGCAACACAAAAAATCGCATTTAGATAAGAGTTCAAACTTCTTCAAAAGCCGATTTGACTTATTGATTTTTGATCACGATTTAATTGTTGCTTAAAATAAAAGTGTACATTTTAATATTCAGGTGAGCAGGTAGTCATGTTGATTAACAGAAATTTGTATGCATATCTTATTTATTGTGTTTGAGATAAATACCTCTATAAATTACATATAAAATAATTTGAATAAATGAAAACTCACCACACCGTAAATTCAAGGAACGCAAGTGCCACAGCAACGAGCTTTTGCTGTTAAACTTAACAGTGCGCGACACTGTGCTAAAAAGCTGTTAAGCTGAACAGTGCTTGCGCAACTATACATCATAGCACTTAGCATGGAACACAACCCACGAAGAGCTTGAAAGTTTTTCGAGTTTAGCCTTTTTTTGCGTTATAAATGTTTATTTATTAAAACAGACATTTTCTTATTATATAAATTCAAAAGTCATAACTTAAGTTAGTTGACGAATTAAACATAACGTTTGCTATAAATATAGAACAAATTGCTTACTGTTATTATTGACTTTCACTTGCAGAAAAGCTCAAATCTCGATGACAATGACAACATGTTCTTCGATCTGGAGGATCAGACGGCCTTCGCGGACTCCGACAGCCTGGAAGCATTTGCGCCCCTGATTGACGATTCCGTTGCCGAGGGCAACTGGTTCAACAAGGGTGTGCGGCGAGTGCGTCGCGAACTAACCCGATTCTTTGGCAATGGCAAGGGCAAGGGAATCGATGCTCCCAGGCATAAGCGCGCCAAGAAACAGAACCAGAAGAAGCAGGTGGGCAAGCGACAGAATGGTGCGTTGCTCCATAAGCGCGCCTCTGACGATTACGAGAGCGATGTTGGCTCCGGCAATGATGGCATGGAGACTTTAATCTGTAAGTTGTTCAACTGGAAATGGAAATGGAAAAGGAAATGGAAAAGGGAAACGGAAACGTAATCGTAATCACATTTTATTACATTTACAGACCGCACACAATTCACCGTCAATGAGCCCTATCAGATGCAGTTCGACAACAAGCTAAGCGAACAGTTTGTCAATCTAACCGAGGATATCCGAAACGGTCTCCGTAAACTCTTCCACGAAAGCTACCCGGGCGATGATGATGATGTTGATATACGCAGCACTCTGTTGCATGTCAGGTATGTCAATTATCAGCAGACTCTTTGTGGCAAGTGCCAACCAGACGGCAGCTGGAAAGTGCGTACGTTTCGTGATTTCGTGTACCGTGGCAGGTTCGTGTCTCAAACAACAAATCAAGTTAAATGAATATTTATGTTGTTATTGATTGCCAAATGCCAAACTATGATAATTGCAGTTTGCTGAAATAAATATTTAACATGTTTATTATTTATTTATCGAGTCGAAGGTCAATGCTAGTACTCGTCAATAAGAAATTATGCTTAGTACTTATTACTAAGTCATAATTTTATAAAATAATAATATAAAAAAACATATTCATTATCTAATTATATTATTTATTTATTTTGTTGAAGAAAACGACACTTTTTCACATTCTCAGCGCTACTTTACAAATATATTACTTATCGCAAATCAATTATTCTTAGTTCAAATATTTTGAAATATAGAAACAAAATAGTACTTCAACATATTTAAAGAACCTTTTTAGTTTGCCAAAAGAAACGTTTTTGAATAAGCACAGATATTACAACAAAGCAACAAATTACAGAGAAAAAAACATGAAGCAGAAGAAGAAATACGAAACGTGTCCATCTCTAGCAGCCCGATGTTAATTCACTTGCTCTCTTTTCCCAATTTAATGTTTCATTTATTGCTTTTCGCTGATCAGGCGCACAGCCGATCTGTACAAGATTAATGTGATTCTCAATGTGGAGATACCGGCGAATGTTTTGGATTTCGAGGAGAAGCTGCGCTCCCAGCTGCAGAACTACAATAAAATTGGCGATCAGAGTGCCTCCCTCGGCGATGACTTCTACTTCCGCCACGCGTTGGGTAAGTTGCACATAAATGCGATACAATTTACCAATTCCCTTTACCCCTTCCCCGTTCCCCGTTCCCTCCTCCACTGCAACACCAATTTGGATTTGGCTGCTTTGGGTGTTATACATTGAGTAATACTAAAACGTACTAAATATTTATTACTCGATGCTTGTTGCCACAAACTGTACAAAGCTATCTGCCTAAAAAGCTTCTCCAAGTAGCGCCCATCTGTCTCTGTAAATAAAAAGTACTCTTAGCCCTAAACAGAAACGCACAAAACTCTACTCACATGCCCAAAACACACACACACACACCTACACACACACACACACACACCTACACACACACTTTTAACCGGTAAAATGCAGATAATCAGTGCGTGAGCCCGCTGGAAAGCGATAAGTTTGTCTGCCAGAACGGCGACAGTTTTCCCTGTGCGAACATGTGTAATGAACTGGTTGACTGTGAAAATGGTTCTGACGAGGATCCGGAGCTATGCGAGCGTCGCCGGAAAGACTATCCGAGTCCGAATGTGGATTATGATTCGGCTGAGCTAGAGAATCAATGCAATTCGGCGAACGAACATTTTATGTGTAATACTGGCAGTCCCTATATGATATATTGCTCGAAAATTTGCGACAACCAAATTGATTGCTCGGATGGGTCCGATGAGGATCCGGAGCTATGCGAGAGCCGATCGATAAGCTTCCCAAATGCCAGCGCATGTAGGTTCTCCTCCGACAGCTTCCAATGCGAGAGCGGAAACAAACTGCACACTTACTGCTCGAAAATCTGCAATGGATACAACGATTGCGACGATGGCTCCGATGAAACTCCCGAACTCTGTGGCACTCAGTTTGTGCCCCCCATCGAGTCCCCGAATCCTGAAACTGAACAGTATCAGTGCATTGGGAATGTTGGCTTGTTCTCATGCGACAATGGTTTCGGAATACCCTGCCGTGATCGATGCGATAATCATGATGATTGCGGCGATGGCTCCGATGAGAATGCCGACATGTGTCGCTCCCTTATGGCGGGGGCCAATGCGGATGTCGAATGTACCGGAGAGGGCGAGAATCAAGTGTGCAAGCGAAGAAATAACGGTTTGTCATTCCACTCTCTCTCTCTCTCTCTCTCTCTCTCTCTCCCTGTCTCTCTCTCTCTCGCTCGCTCTGTGTTTGTCTGTCATTGAGCACGCAATGATGTGCTTGGGGAATACTTGTCGTGTTACGTGTTCCGGTTAAGCGACTCTAATAATACCAAGACTATATATATTAGATAAGCACATACACACACTAACCCATACATACACACACACACACACACACACACACACATACACGCACACACACACAAGCAAACAATACTAAACTCTAATTGATAACCAGTAATTTTAACTGTAACTGCTAAATAGCACAGCTGTCACTGTCACTGTACTATAACGCAGCATATTCTGGCAAGATCAATTTTCATCAATTTTCATATGTTAGGCGATGTCCAATTTGCAAAAGCGGAAAAGTTTACCATTTTCAAAATGGACAATACCGGAAACGGAAGATTGTTTGTTAAAAACGGAAACTATTCTAACTATTTCGTAAATTGAAATACGCCCGTATATATACATACATATTTATCTTTATAATTTAGTTCAGTGCGCTGAAGCTCTAAATCCACATTTGCCATTTTCATTGGAATGTTTTTTACTATCATCTTACTTTTTTTTATTAAATCTTAGACGATATATAGATATAAGTACTAATAGAATTATTATCTGATCAGCTTAGACAGGACAACTAAAATTTGATATGTATGCACCTTCTTCATGTCCCAGTAAAAGTATCAAAACCATTTTCACTTGGACAGCATTTTATTTTGGCAATTCATTTAAGTGCAAAGAAAAATCGGAGTCTCGATTACAATTTTCGTTGTTTTATTATCTGACTTGACAACAAAATCAATTTGGATCTGACCAATTGAACAAAGCCTTCGATAGAAAATAAAATATCGATTTAAAAACCAATTCTATCATTCAAAATTAATGTATACATTTTGATTACTTACTGCAAATCGAGAAACATATACATATATAGAAAAATCATTAAAGCTGTTGTCATACTGTTATTCAGACGCTCTCTCTCTCTCTCTCTCTCTCTCTGTCTCTCTCTCTCTCATGTTCACTCCGGCTCACATTCGCTCAACCTTTGGGCAGCATGTTGCTCTCTTGTTCTCCGTCTCCCCCCACTCTCATTTGCTCTAACTTGTTGAGCATATCAACTTTGCAGAATCGCCAATCACTTTTTCATTACATTTTAATTATGTTTTGTTGTCTCTCCATCTCTCTCTCTCTCTCGATCTCTCTCGCTCTCTGTCTATCCCACTCTCTATCTATCTCTCTCACTGTTGCATTTCACAATATGTTATATATGTTTTGTTCTATCGCTCTCTTGCTACTATCATTGTATCCCCTAACGAAACTGTCCAATTGTGTACTCAATGTTTGTGTTATATTTTTAATTTGAAATACTATAATTTATTTAACATGCCCTCCACACACACATACACACTCACACTCCAATACATGCACACTTACACGACTTAGATACAAACGACGATGAGTCGCCAGATGACGATGGCTCTGGATACGAGGAATGTCGCGGAGATGCGACATTCGAATGTTACCGCAGCGGCACTCGTGTCTGCGACGTGATGAGATGCGATGACAAAGTAGACTGTCCCAATGGTGAAGATGAGGAGAATTGCCACAGTGACATCGGTAATGATAATCTCCAAAAAAAAAGAAACAAAAAAAACGTCAAACGTCAGCTTGTATTTCACATTATTGCCATTAAATACGAAATTGGAGTTGAGAATCTGCAATCTAGTCAAAGCATCAACTAAATTTTACTCAATGAATCAATTGTTAAATCATCAGCTATTTGAGATCAAATATTAAGCATATAGACATACATACATACATATATATGTAACTTATATATATATATATATATATATATAAGTTACTATCATCACTCATTTGTTTTTTGTAAGCGTTTGTTTTAAGTCAGCTATTTTAAATTGATATGTTTGTGTTTCTGTTTTTCTTTGCATTTCTTTTATGTTGCGCTTTTTGCCTAACTTAGTTTGCAATGAAAACGAATTCAAGTGCGACGGTCAGTGTCATCCGCTCTACATGCGCTGTGATAAAGTAGTGCAGTGCTACGATCAGACTGACGAGGCTGGTTGTCCCGAAGAAGACGAACCCGAACACGAGTCGGAGTCCGATCGCCAGCCGGAGCAGGAGCCAGAGCCCGAGGACGAGAACGAAACCGAAACTCCACTCTGGTACGATTCCTGGCAAGAGCAAGAGCGAGAGCAAGAGCGTGAGCGTGAGCGTGAGCGCGAACAAGAGCGTGAGCGCGAGCGAGAGGAAGAGCGCAGACGAGAGCAAGAGCGAGAGCAAGAGCAAGAGCGCGAGCGAGAGGAAGAGCGCAGACGAGAGCAAGAGCGAGAGCAAGAGCGTAGACGAGAGCAAGAGCGAGAGCAAGAGCGAGAGCAAGAGCACGGGCGAGAGCGAGAGCAAGAGCCCGAACTGCCACAGGGTGAGTTAAAATTTCTTATTTTTATTTTCGTTTATTTCTTATTAAATTTATTCCTCATAATTGCCCCATAAAATTCGATTATTTTCTGATCTGAAGTAGTATTCTTAAATTGCCTCAAGTTATCTTTTCATTAAATTCTCAATATTATAGTTTTTCCCATTTATGTATGTATGTAATTTTTATATTTTTATTTTATTTGTGTGTGTGATGTCAGCGACGATCGCTGATCTCATTTGCGAAAAGTGGGCCACGTGCCATGTTTTTTCAAAGAATGCCGTATTTGATCAGCGAATATCAAAAAGATGATTTTACAATTGAGAAATATTTGTTGCATCAAGTGCAACAATAAATTCAATAAATTACAAAACTGTGCTACACTCATTTTTGGTACGTGCCCCTTCAAACCAAGTATTTCTCTGAAATAATCCAAATGGTGGGTGCCGCCATTTAATATATAATACTATTTTCTTTTAAGCAGGAAGCATATTCAATTACTTTAAATTTTTGGCATTTCGTGCATTTCTTAGGGTGAGTCAAAGCTCTGCACATGTGGGCGGTTTTTAATGATGCTCTCAGCGTTTCACTTGGAAAAAGTCGGTGTCCAATTAATTAGTCATATTCAATTTGTTTCCTGTCGGAACAGTAGAAATGAAACATGGGACAATTGAGTGCTGGAATAAAACACAACACCAGCTGAATACTCAGGCGCAATCTGTTTGCTGTCAGCAATGTTGGTGTTCCACTGGCTGTTGTAAGTTGCATACCTTCCCGTTCCATTCCCATTGTACCAGCGCTTAATAAGTGAAATGGCCCAGCTATGACCCTGACCCTCCTCCAAGCAATCGACGCTTAAATTGCAAAAGCAACAACAACAAAATATGGAAACCTATTCCAAAAAGTGAAATTACTATTGCTCCCCAAACAGGACGATGCGGCAACGGCAACGGCAACGGCCACGCCCACTCTGCCATCGTCGCCGCCGCCCCACTTTCGTAATGAAACGACCCATGCAGCATGCAGCACCGAAATCAAAATCCAAATCATAACCGCAGTGGTGCCCCCACCTCCCACCCCCCCACTCGCTCCTCGCTCCACACACATGTGGATTACAATATCTATGAAATATGCCACAAATACGAGCACGCATATGCCACAAAAAAAAATTAGCAAACAGAGATAAAAAACCAGCAGCATCGCAGGCAATGCAAAAAGATGTTTTATGTATGGTGATTTTTGGGTGATTGGGTGGTTTGGTGGTTCAGTGGTTCAGTGGCGAGCTGGCATCGTCGATTGTGGTGTCTGCAGCGGGGCTGGCAACAAAAACAATTTGCAACAGATTAAAATTACCCCTAAGCGTATTATAAACTTAAATAATCCGCTGCACAGTCTACACAGAACAGCAACCACCCTGCGAACCACCCCTCACCTCCCTCCACCCGTCCCCCTCCCACTCACACTCCCGCAGCCCGTTTGTTGAAGTGAGCTTTTATTTAGACGGGCGTCGCCGCTTTTACTACACGGGGGCGTGTTAAGTACTGTCAACGAGATTAAATGCAATGTCAGAGGTCACAAAAAAGACTCACACACACACACACACACATAAACACGCACACAGCAAGTCCAACGCAGCCCAAAGTTGTGTCCTTGTAAATTTAATGAATTTTCGCCACTTGAGTTGTTGTTGTTATTGTTGTTGTTGTTCCACTTCCCCTTTGGCTTTGGCGAGTGAAATTAAGTAAAAAGTGTAACTGGAACTCGGACTGCAACTTAACTTAAGCAGAAATATGTTGTCTTAACTGATTTACGCACTTTTCAATTTCAATATGCTGCGCTTGAATAAAAAGTCAATTGAGATCAGTTTTATATATGAAACATATACCGATTTTTAATAATGCTTTATAGCTACTAAATATTACACACTTAGAATACTCTCTAAATTCTCTACTAAAGAAGTCAGTTAGCTAAACGGGGACAACTCCTTAAAGCACAAGATATCGGATTGCGTCCCCTTAGCTAGAAGAGGATGTAATATCCTAGGGAACCATATCCCAAGGTCGAATGCCTTGAATAAGTGTTGATGGAGGCACTGCAGGCCAGAAGAGGGTCACAATAGATCAAAATGGGTCGCGGTGTATCAATAATAATAATAATAATATTATAATAATAATAATAATATTATAATAATAATAGTTTTTACAAAAAAATAATATTATAATTAATATTACAGATAAGAGCACTACCGACTATACCTTTAGATCGATCATACTTTATTGAATAAAATCAAATATAATTAAAGATTTTTAATACATTTTTTAACATTTGTATTATAATTATATCGTAAAGTTTGTAATTCATTGAAAGAGACCTGCAATGAATTTGTGGCATCCAAATTTACATAAACATATTTATGTACACATTATGTACACATCAATATAAGTAATATATATATATATATATATATATATATATTTATATATAATTGTGTCCACATTTAAGGCACTTACAGCTTACAGCTCAAAAAGTAGAAGTTATAAAAAATTCAACACATTTCTAATTATCAAATATTTCGAAGGCGTCTTAAAGTTGGCACTCTACATATATATATATATATATATATATATATATGTGTGTGTATTTATACACAGCTAAGTGCCCGCATTGTTGAGAAAGATATTCAGCGCTGTTAGAGCTGGTTATTCGGCTATTCCAAAAGAGTTCTGGAATTGCAATCGAATTATTTTGTTGTTGTTATTCTGTGGCACAGTGCTGTGAAATTTGGAACTTTTGTGGCAGTTATTGTTGTCGGATTTATATATTTCGGTTGCTGTTTCGAAAGTGCATCATTTGGGGCAACTGCTGCTGCTGTTACTGCTGTTGTTGCTGCTGTTGTTGTTGCTGCACTTGAGCGCCGCTAAATTTTAATTATTATGTAAACACGCACACACACACACACACACACACACACACACATACACACTACACCCACCACAAGCACACTCAGTTGTATTATGTTCTATTCAAAAACTTGCCCTTTATTTTGTGAGCGTGCAGCATTAGAAGTGTTGGTATGGTGGAAGGGGGCGTGGTGGTGGGGCATGAGCAGGCGTCTGCTCAATTAACAGCTATTTTTGTTTAGTTTTATTTTATTCGTTTGTTGCATTCTGTTTGTTTGAGGTTGTGGGTGCTGCGGTTGCATTTCGCTCGACTCAATTGGTTGATTAAATATCTTGTTTATAATTGTTTGGCATCGAATCTTCTTTGGGCGCTGGACACTTGCACTTTTGGCACCCATTCGAACACCCCTACCACTACTCTCACCCGCCCACCCACTCCATCTATCCCTACCCCGCCAACACTTAAACCAGTCTGCGAATCTTAAGCAAGCAGCGAGAGTCAATTAGCAGCTTTACTTGCTGCTCGGCGTTAAATGGCTGCCGATTTGACTGCTGCACGGAGACACACACAAACATATACACACTTACACACACGCACACACACACACATAAAACACTTGCACTACGGGGACCACATATGCAAATTGAATTTGCTGGCCAGCGCTTTTCTTTTCACACTTCGAGCCAAAATAAAAAGAGAGAGCCGAAAGAGCGTGTTAAAATTAAGGCAACGAGTGCAACGAGACAACAACAACAATCAGCAGCCGCAGCAGCAGCAACTGTTGTTAAAAATCATAAAAATCATAGCAGCTAACAATGTAAGCACTGCAAACCCACTAAAATAAAAACACCCCCTTGCCCACAACAAGAACTCCAACGCCCCCGCCCCACCCACAAGACAGACACAGGGGAATTATGCATGTCTGATAAGTTCTGCGAATCATAATAAAAACAAAAAATTCAAATTGAAACATGTAAGAAGTGTTTTCATCTACGAATTGTGCCGAATATCAAATACACTAACCATAAGCCACAAATATATAATTATATATGTATAATTATTGTATAAAAATCGATAGATGACTTGAATTAAAATATCTATCTTTTCATTAATTTTAAAGGAAACCACGTTTCATGTATTGTAGTCAAATAATTGCAAAGGTTATCTGAATACTCGTGTGATTTTTCACATATATTTTCGACCAGTATAAATAGGGTATATTTGACATATATGACTAAATAACAATACCCACTCTGCTAGGGTATACAAAGAAAGCTGAATGATACAAAACAATGCGCGCAACTTCCGCTTGTGCTCTATGTTGAATGTTCTGTGTCGCTGTTGCTGCTGCTGTTGCCGCCTATTGTTTCTATTAGTTGTGTTGGGTGTGTGTGTGTGTGTGGAGGGGGGAGCGTTAAGTGAAATGCTTGTGTGTCTTAAACTTGAGCCTGTTGCCCCAAAGCTTAAACGGCGACTGGCGCAAGCGCAACATACAAGCAAGCAACATGTTGCTGTCGTGCAAGAGCAACAACAATAACACCAGCAGCAGTTAAATGTTAGCAACATGCTGCTGTTAGGCAAACACTGTACATGTTGCCAAGCCATGCAACCTGGTTGGCTGTGCCCATTGAAGCATCGTTTCCAGCCCGAGCACCAAGCACACCTTCGTGCTCGAGCCGAACACACAGCCGAATGCATCGTGCGCCTTTATTCGTTAGCGTTATCGCTTCGGCTACTCTGGTTGCTTCGGTTAATTTTACTGTTCGTCGTCGATGTTAGTGTTGCTCGTGTTTACGCCTCCTCCGACTGCTGCTGGGCTGCTTAGCTGCTTGGCGCTTGGGCTGCTTGGGGCGCTGGGCGAGTCGATGCCGGCGCTGCTTGCATCGCTGTCACGTCAGTTCAAATTGAAGCGTTTGCGTGTGCGTTACGTTGTGCAGCGACTTGGCGACTTGGTGACTTGCTGACTTGCTGACTTGACTTGGTCGATTCGACTCTGACTTCGACTTCGACTGGGACAGTGGCGCGTGTGCAAAACCACTCAGCGAACCAACTTTATTCAATTCTTTTTTTTTGCAAGTTTTCTTTTAGCCAAAATTTCCAATAGAAAAATCGTTTTTTTTTCTTGTTTTTTGAGTAAGTCAATTGAATTGTGTGCCAAAAACAAATTAAACAATAGTAAAATAACAAAAAAAAAAAAAATAAAAATAACAAACTAAATCAACAAATTCTAAATTGTGCCAAATTGTATGCTTTGTATTGTGTACAATTTGGAAAATATTGAACATATACAGATTTGCAGCACAGCTCTTGGAGTGTTTCGTCGTATACTCGATCGTTGTTTGTCCTCTTGTTCTGTGATCCAAAAATTGAACAGGCTTCGAGTGAGCGGTGACTAATGTCTACAAATCAGCAAGTAGTTTGGAAAGGTGTCCTTTTTTGTTTTTCATAATTTTGAACAATTTTAACAATCGAGCTTATTGGTTCAGTTCCTTTTTATTGCAAATTCATCAGGCCTTAGCCAAAATTTGAAATGGGAAATTGAGTTCATGGTTTGTCGAAAAATAAGAAAGATTTTCTTTCGAATTATCAGTGAATCAAATAATTAAATTTAAAAAATGGTCTGGTTTTTTTTGTGTGTTTTGAAAAATTGCAGTTAACTGATCGTTTTTTAGACATTCTGCCGACTCTGTTAAACTCTCTCACCGATATTTTGTGACTGCTTCCAATATAATTACAAATATTCCTTTTTAACATTTTCATCAAATTGTTGCAAGAATTAATCCACAGTGAGTTCAAATATAAGCTCAATATAGTTTAAAAAAGCGCTTAGCATTCTTCCCAAAATATGTTGGCATTTAATGTTTTTCTTTAGTTTTTTTTCTTAAGTGAAGTTTCTAAAAATCTGTCAATAGATCAGCCAAATTGTTGGGTTTGTTTTTGGTTGGACTGAATCATCAATCAGATTATACATTTAATTTACGACATTTTCATTAGAGTTTCCACTAAAGTCTAAACTCTAATGAGATGAGATGAGTGAGAGCACTGAAAATCATAGCTGGAGTTTTTTGGCTGATTTTTTTCTTCTCAGCCCGATCTGTGTTTTTTAAATATCAGTTTTTCAACCACATTCCATTTGCAGGACTTTTTAAAACTAATAAATTACGTCTCAACAGTAAAGATTTTTGAGAATAAATGAAGCATAACAAAACGTAAATTATTTTTGCAGTAAGATCCAAAAATGTCTAAATGCAAAACGTATTCAAATAAAAATTATCACTAGTTGGCTAGCTTAAATTGTAAAGGGGCCAAGACAATACTTTTTTCTACAAAGCAGATTTAGAGTTTTATCGCTACCGAAAGCAAAAGAAAAGTTAAGATAGCATTGTTTGCTCAAATTGAGAGTAGACAGGAAGGTTAATGCTTTATATAGACCGGTATCTGACAATGTCGTGTGGGCCACGTTAACAGATCAGTTTTTGTCGGTCGCTGTCCAACAGGATTATGTAAAAATAATAACTTAGCTATCTGTGAAACAGTTATAAATTATGGCCATTGTTTGCTCTGCAGTTAGCTGATGTCATTCTTGTTGTTGATGTGTTTTTTTTTTTATATTTTTGCTGCAGCTGCTGCTGCTTGTGTTGTCGGCAGAAAATCTTAATCAAAGAGAGAGTCAAACAATCGCTGAGCCAGCGAATAAATCGAGAAAATCTGCCTGCGAACATTAAACGTTTGTGGCATTGATCACAGCTCGTGTGTCTTTGTGTTTCCAAAAGATTCAGCGTTGCGCGGCGCGATAGAAATAGCAACAAATACAAAAACAACAACAACAACAATTAGTGTCGAAAGTTGTGCAGCCTGACAAATTGTCGACACAACAAAACCAAACAAAGAAAAAAATAAAAGAAAACAACTAGCAATGCAATCTGTTGCCCTTCCCTGCATCTCTTTCCTTAGCGCTCGCCGCGCTGCTCTGCTTTATTTGGGGGGTGACAAATCTTATAAATAACAGGCCCAAATATGGCAGAAGCGACAAAAACAAAAACTATTTTTGTAGCTGATACAAACGCAAGTATTTCAATTCACCCAAAAAAAAAAAACAAAAAATGATTCCTCCAGCAACAGCTGTAGATGTGCTCTAACATTTTTCTTATTCCTGCTCTTTTCGTTTTTGCAACATTTGCTTTTTCTGCAATTGGAGTGAAGAAAATTTTGAATTTGTGAATTCCTTTTTTTTTCTAAATCGTGTTATTTTTTTTATTTTATTATTTGGTTGTTTGTTGTTGAGGATCGTTTTGCAAAAGACAACGTTGCAGTTTTGACTCTGGGTTTTTCTCAGACAATGTTCAACATTCAATGGAATGCCAAATGCAAAAACCAGAAGAACGACGACAAAAACGTTTATTGGGCATTAGAGCTAACGCAGCGAGGGAGGGGCTAGTGGAGCGGTGTTGCATAGTGGCACAGTGGCACAATGTCATGATAGCCGCTCAAAGGCGCTTTGAGAAGTTGTTGCCAGAAGTCTAGCGCCTGCAATATTATGCATCATTAATTTTAATGACTTTTCACTCGACAAATGTGAACTTAACTAAAATGCTTAGCTCAGTTTTAATGATGGCATTTTAATATGCAAATTCTATCTACTTAAATATCAGACATACATACACACACAGCACATACATACAGGCAGCAGCATCATTAACAACTTGCCACAAAACTTTGAAACGCTCCACTTTTCTTCCTCTTTTTTTTTTTTGTTTGTGTAAAAATCAGCCTGAAAAGCGCACGCAGGTGGAAGGGGCAGTTGATGCAGCTTTCCTTTTGTGAATAGATACAAATATATTAAAATAAAATAAAATTAAATAGACAGTTAAACACTGCTTACAATTTATTATTTATCTTTTACACTTTTAAGTGACACTAAAACAGACTGAAAATTGAATTAAGGGTTCAGCTTCCAAATTGCAACTGCTGCTAGTTGAAGAGATTTGTATAAGAATCTAAATGATCTTATTATTTTCCAAACTAAAATATATCGGACGAGAAATATGGGATGTCATTTAGCATATTGAAAAGTAATTGAAAAAATCTATATTTAGAACATTTCTCGAACCAAACAATATATATACTCGTATATATAATATAATATACATATAAAAAGAGAGACGTATTCTAGAGGATCATTGAACATTTATATATATTATCGTTTTTATGATATATAGAATTGACAGCTAAATTAACGATAGCTCAGCTAGTTATTTAGCAGCCTTAAGATCTTTTCTTTTGTACTTTTGTACATATTCGCTATAAAATTCCAGGTCAAGTATTAATGGCTCAACATAAATATGTGGAGAATATATTAATGCTGGAACGTTGCATCAAAATGAAATTCTTGATTGTTACTCATTTCTATTAAAACTACTCGTTAGTGGTGCCTACATCCAAAATATATGTTCAGCTCCTGTTGCATTTTGCTGTTGCTTTTTGTTGTTGCTGTTGATGTTGCTGTTGCAGCTTCCATTGTGTTGCAATTCACCAATTATTATGCGTAGCACGTTGGCTAAGCCAAAACTTGGCTACCTCGATTGCCGCTGTTGTTGCCCACTTAATGCCGATCCGAGCCAAGCTAAAAGCATTCCTTTAATGTTAACTTAATTGAAGCATAGCCAGCAACAACAACTAACGCAGCAGCAGCAGCAGCAGTAGCAGCAACAGCTTTTTGTTGTATTTCATTTAATAATTTAAAAAATATATACGTATATATATATATATATTTATATATATATAAACATATGTGTATATGCAGGCATTTTGCCAAACACCGCATAAACTACAAAGCTTTTACGCGTATCTCATAGATACGGATACCGCAGCCAGACTAGCAACAACAAAACGAACGAACAGCAACAAAACCTTTCACGTCACAGCATTCAAAGCATTCAATATTCAAGCATTCGAAAATTCGAACATTCAACATTCGACATTATTTCGCACTCATAAAAGCGCAGATGGTCAAATCACCCCCCACTCACCCCCCTGACCGAGCAGCGAGCACACATGGCCAAAGGTATAGCGAGAAGTGGAGGGAGGTGGGCGGGTGCTTTAGGGTGTTCAAGTTCAAGTTCATTACAGCACCACATGAAATCGGAATTTTTTCTGCGCTCATTTATTTTTTATTTTTTTTTTGTTGTATTTGCTGTATAATATTCGCGCAATTTGTTGTAATTTATGCGCAAAATTTTATGCAATATTTGCACAATTTGCCGTAGCGTAGAAAGAATGACAGAGACAACAAGAGAGTGTGTGAGAGTGAGAGAGAGAGAAAGAGAGAAAGAGAGAGACAGTTAACGAGTTAGAAGCGTTTTGTGAACTGGGCAAACATTTTCCCAACTTTTGACATTTTTTCCATTTTTCTTTTCTTTGCTTAGTTGTTTTGCAAGAAGTTGTCAGAAAATCTACAAAATGTCTTTCAATTTGTGAAAAAAAAGTGTTGTTTTTTAGCTGTGTCTGGTGCCAGCAAATAGTTAATTAAATATCTAACAAGATATTATAGTTGAATAATGTCCTAAGCAAATTGCATATGATCTATTCGAGTTTTCATAAAATGCAAAAAAATAACCTTTTAAGAAAGAAAAAAAAAAGAAAGAAAGATTAAAAATTAGGGAAATAAAAGAGTATCCTCCCAGAAGGAATTCACACTTCATTTTAACAACATATACATTTTTTAATTTATTTATTTGCTAGCTGATATTTATATTTTCAATTGACATTTGATGTTGAGCGTTGCACTAATCGAAATTGATTAGAAAACTCATTCAATAGACGCGCTACCATTTTTTAGCAGCCAAGATTGCTGTTTGAGGTTAGACGCTTTTCTTGCCAGCCCCGCCCCTCCCTTGCACCCCTCCACACACTAGAAACGAATGCAAAGAGGAGCAGAGAATAGAATGGAATTTGAAATTTTGATGCCGACTGTCGACAACAATTGAACAATTGAATGCTGATGAGGCGCGCGCAGCCTGCCAAAAGCGAGCCGTGAATATTTCTTCAATTTTCCGCAAGTTTTCCTCATCGTTTTTTTTTTTTGTATTTTTTGTTCGGTTGCCCTTTTGGGCGTTTGTTGTTATTGCTGTCGTTGTTGTTGTTGGGCATATGAAAATATTGCGTTATTTAAAATTAAGCAACATTTAATGTGCTCCAGTTGCTGCCCCCCTCACTTTGACTCAGTGTGTGTCCTGTGCCGCTTGTTTTCAGCTCTTTTCTGTTTGGCTTTTCTTCTTTTTTTTTTTTTTGTGTACAGTTTTTCACTTTTACACCCGCATAGACAAAGGCGGAAGTGTCCCCAGTGCGGGGTGGGGCGGGCAGCCTCTTCATTGCTTTCATTTGTAACGGAAATGCTTGTGAAAATATCCCTTTGTGTGTGTGTGTGTGTATGTGTGTATGTGTCCTGCTTTGGCTGCTACAACTGGTGTCTGCTGGGCGTTGGATACTTGGTGTTAATGCGTTGACTTTGCCCCGGAAACATCTCCACTGTCCGGTGTTGCCCCGTCACCCGCTGTGAACTTTATGCGCTGCCAACGGTTGGGGGCACAGTAGTTTTGTTAGGCGGAGGGTGTGGGTTGTATTGCCAGCATTTGTTTAATATTTGTATTTGCCACTCCAAGAGCTGTCGCTGATGCTGCTGCTGCTGCTGCTAAATAGGCTGCAATCTTTTGCAGTTGCGGCTTCAGATCAGGGGGAGCGAGTGAGAAATCTGTGCGAAGCAAAGCAAACCAAAGACCAAGAACAGGAAAAAAGAAACTGAAAAGTTAAAGGCCATGGCTAGGTTAATGCAGCCCCTGGCAGCCACGTGGCTGCTTTGGGCGCTGCTCGGCGCTGCACTCGTTGAGCGGCTTGGAATCGCCGAGGGGCATGGCTGGAGCAACTGGAATCCTATTGGTAAGTCTGTAAATCTTGTCAAGCTGATCGTGTTTTGCATTTGCGATCGGTGCGCTTCTAATCAATGGAACAATCATAATAATTACAATAAGAACAATAGCAACAACGTTGCGGTTTCTGTGGCTGCACACACACAAACACACAGACACACACACACACACACACACACACACATACACATACATTTAGGGCACACACTTCGATTGTGGTTTAATTAATTTCAATCAGTGAATGGCATCCGCATTTAATTGCCGCTCAATTGCGCGAGATGCGATGCGACAGAAGATGCAACGGCAACAACGAAGAATTGCCCTGAGCAGCTGCACAGATTGGCGCCCGCAACAGGAGTCGCTAACACACACATATATACACACACACACACACGACAATGAAATAGTTGATGGCATATTCGTTCACACTATCTTTCGTCTCAATCGCCGTTGTTCTCAAATCTAGGCTAATTGTTTGTCGCTTTTGTAATAATGATGCCAGCGACCAATTAATTTGCACAAACATCTTAATTTATAAATAAGAGAAGCAAACACACACACACACACACACACACACACAGACACAGACACAGAGATACCGAAGAGCACTCAAACATTGCGAGGGCCACACTTGAAACTGGGCTTTCGTTTCGGCTATGAATTTCAGCCGCATTCTTTTTTATTCGTACTTGACTTTATGAGCACTTCGAATGCATTTGAATTACACAAGTGCGAATGCATATGAAAAATCATCAGTGAAATTCTTATATACAATTTTCGATATTTTTCAGTTTAAGTCCGCATTCAACTCAAGAGTTGATCTCAGCAACACAAACAAACTGCAAAAACATACTCAACTGAAAGCAAAAAAATGAACGTATGTGCATTTTCCCATACGATTCAGTCACTTAACATTGTTAAAGTATATTGCGAATTTTTGAAATTCGCACCGAGTATTTTAGTTTTTTTTTCCCCTTTTTTTTTTTTGCAATGATTTATCGAATTTCATATCAATGTGGTAATTTTACCACTCACGCGGCTACAACTGAGTCAGCTGAGACTGAGATTTTTTTTTGTAGTTTTGGGTAATTAGCTGAAATGAAGCATTCGTAATATGTCTCAGTAAATATGTCAACGGCTACAGCTAATAAGGCAAATAAAGTGCAAACAAAGTGCCATTGAATTCAAGTGCATGATATAATGTAGACACACATACAGATGTATATCTTTATATCTATATAAGCATGCATCTGTGTAAATAGCTGAGTGGCTTTGTGACATGTTAATATTTCCTGATTGTAAATCTTTTGTTTTAACAAAGAACTCAAGGGTATTTCATTGGTCACAGGTTTATCTGTTGCTTATTGTCGTCCTATGCACTTCTCACTTTCTAGGCCTTTGGTCACGGTCAGCGCCAGCCTCTTAATGAATGGCAGGGAAAGAGTAGCAGAGAGCGAGATAGAGAGAGAGAGAGAGAGAGAGAGAGCGAGAGAGAGAGCGAGAGAGAGAGAGAAACGAGAGAATAGCTTCTGCTAGCTAAACTGATTTGGTCATTTGATACACAGGAAAGACAATGTAAGCAGACAAAGGTACATAGAAATTAGAAACTGTAAACTGCAATGTATGTGTGTGTGTATGTATGTGTGTGTGTGTATGTATGTGTGTGTGTATGTATGTGTGTGTGTGTGTGTGTGTGTGTGTGTGTGTCTGTTTGTAGTTAAATGTATTTGCAACAATGTTATCCTTGACTTCATTAAACGGCATGTGTGCTGCCGCATCTTCGTGTTTGTATCTGTAGCTATGCACATATGTATCTAGATACAAATGTAGCTATCTGAATCTGTATGCGCTGCCGTTGCTGCAGCTGCAGCTATGTAACTTTATCTATGACGAATGCATCAGCAGCAGCAACAGACGCAAATTAAATAAATATAAGACCCAACCAATGTTAAGATAACAATATTTATTTTGTTTTATTCGCCCGCCCCCCCCCCCCTCCCCCACCCTTTTTTTGTCTGTTTTCGCAAAAATAAATGCTAGTTATCTTTCGTCGTTCTTCAAATACATACATACATGTTGTTCAAATTGACATGAAATGAAAAACGAAATCAAAAATGAAATGAAATAATTCACAAACGGGTTTTTTTCATTTTATCGACAACAATTGTTTGATTTTGAATGTTCCTGAGCATTTTAAATTTGAGTTTTTAAATTTGCCTCATAAATGGCGTTAAAATTTTTTCAAATTGATTTTGAAATACTGAAATTAATGCGAAAAGTGCTTTGAATGAGCCCAAAACTGGATCAGAGATATGAATAGCTAGGAAAAATCTCCAACATTTCATATCTGATGCCTCGATAACTCAAGTTCTGTTTATGACAGAAAATGTGGTCGTCAACTTGCAACTTGAGCAACTTGAGTGTCTGCTGTTTAGTGCTTATTATTTTAATATAATATTTGTTTATTTTATTTTACACTAAAAGTCGTTAATTTATGTGGCCTGAGCGACTTGGGCTTTTACGCTCTGGTTTCTAGTCTGCGCATCTCGAATGACTTCATAATTTATTTTTCTTATTTTGTAACACGGCCGCTAGAAATTCGCTCTCCTTGTTGTTGCTGTTGTTGTTGTTTGGGTTGCCTGCAAAATGTTTATTTTTAGTACAATGCAAAGCCCAACGCCCACACACATAGACGCACACACACACAGACGCAGACACACACAAATACACAGACACGTATGTTATTCAAAAGCTGCTGCACAAAAGCTTCAACTTGCGATTATTTGCTGTTGTTGTTGTTGTTGTTCTTCTTCTTCTTCTTTTTCTGGTTGCCTGCGTCAAGCGCTTCCTGAAGAAACCCACAAAAAGCAGCGATTGAAGAAGCAGCAAACAAAAGCTGAAAAAGTAGAAAAAGCAGCAGCAGCAGCAGCATTAAATGAAATGAGCACCGAAATGAGATCTGCTATATAAATAAATGATGCGACTGCTACTGTGTGTGTGTGTGCGAGTGTGTGCGAGTGTGTGTGAGTGTGTGTGAAAGTGTGTTTGTCTAGCTGCATGCTCATGCGCTGATGTAAGCATGGTTCAAGTGTGTGTGTGGGAACACAATTAAAAGTGTGCAATACTTTTCAGTGAATTTCTATTTGTGTGCTGTTATGTGTGTGTGTGTGTGTGTGTGTGTGTGTGTGTAACAACGGTGACTGCCACAAACACAGTTAACAGCTTCTTGTGCGCATTGTTGCTGCTGCATTGTGTGTGTGTGTGTGTGTGTGTGTCTGTGTGTGAGCATGTTGTGTTTGTTTGTTGTGTTGACAACAAACTCCACATTTCATGGCCAGCTCCAGAAGGAGACGGAGATTTCTGCTGCTGCTTCTTATTTGTTTGTTTGTGTATTTTTCAAATTGTGGCAACAAAATTAAATTGCAGCGCATAAGAACTCTTTGACTTTAACTGCCCAGCGGCGCAGCACAGTTACTAACTCTGTAACAAAATACGCTCATACAAAAAAAAAAAAAAATTGTCTACAACTGTAGTTTAAGCTGTAGCTGTAGCTGTAGCTGTAGATGTATCTGTCGTGACGGGCCTCGTGTGTAATTTGATGCTTATGCCATTAACAAAAATGTCAAAATGCCATTGGGCATGCAACCACGCCCACAGCCGCTGTACCCCTTCCCCAACCCCTCACAAGGGGGCACCATGTCGTGGCACGTAATTTGCTTGCTGGGGCGCGTGCGAATTGTTAAAAAAAAAAAAAAAATTCTAATAAAATAACAGCAAACTGAAAGAGCAAATAGCGCACACAAAGAACGCCGAGGCGAGAGAGAGAGCTGCTGCTGATAAGAAAGTTTTCTATATAGCATATATATATATATATATATATATATATATATATATATATACACGCGTTTGTATTTGCTTCTTCTTATTCGCAATGAGATTTGATTTTTGTGTGTGATTTTGTGCGAAATGTGTTTGAAATCTAGAAATGTAGCTGGCAGCAGCAAAGTCTGCGCAACTTTTTTGCAATTCCCGTGTTAGCCCTGCCATCCGTGTTTATTTTTCCATTTTGATCATTTCCCGAACGAGACAGGCTCATACAATGCGGCATAATGTTTAGCTGATTAAATACGTGACTTCATTCTATTGTTGACAAGTTCATTTTGTTGCAGTTGGCTAGCGCGACTTAAAGCTGCACTCCACAAATAAATAAGTCGAAGCTAGCTGCAAATTTATGAGCTACACACTTACAGTTACAGCATATGCAACCAGATACAGGCAACAATAAGCAATAAGCTGCTAGCTGCTAGCTGCTGGCTGCAAGCTGCAAGCTGCAAGGCACAAGCTACAAGATACTTTACTTTAGCTGTCATATTTCGCATGCAAATTTATGCAGCTGTCTTTGGCGTTTGACACGCGAATTGCTGAACTGGGCGCTGGCTAAATAGAATCGATAAATCGTTCAGCAATCGATTACCGATTAACGGCGCACGACTTAACCTTGAGCCCAAACATGACCATGACTCCTCCATGCTCCTCTCTTTACCCTTACCTTACCTCAACATCAAACACCAACTTCAGCTCAATTGCACTTCGGCACTTTTTGGAGAATATTCAGCTGTATTTTGACAGGCAAACACTTCTAACTAAGGTTTTTTGTTAATACACGCAATTAATTGCTTAGCAACAAATGTACACGTGTATCTGCAGCACTTAAATTTGCAATTGAGCATTGCGTCGCATACCCTGTAAATGAGCGAGAGCTGCACACATAACTTGACAAAAATATTTAAAAACTTAGATTCGTAGGCAAGAAGCAGCTCAAATGTTTATTATTCACATTTATTTATTCAATATTGTTTTAAAAAGATTTTAAAAAATCAAAATGTAAAATTAAAATAAAATTTACAAATTAAATTAAATAATTTTAAAAGTGAGAACGTAAATTAAAGATTTAAAATGGAAAACAATAATAAAATAAGGTAATTAATCTGAACGAAGTGAAAACAATAA